TTAATCTTAGGTGATAATTATCACCTGTTTTACGGTATTTTAACTTTAGAAACAAGTAAAGAAGGGGCTTAATTTTCAAAGTTTAAACATTTTCGTATGAAAAGTTATAGGTAAAACAAAACCAGAGTACTTATTTTTAGTACATAATAAAAAACATTGTAATTAGAGTTTGATAATAAGACGGTGGTAATTCCGGGTTGGGTGTGGTGAATGCTAAAATCCTTGGTGTACTTGTTGAAAATAAGAAAAAATTTGATTAACACGTAGGTAAAATTAACAAGCGGCGTATGCAGAGTTATATTTAGTTTACTGTAACAAATATATTTTGTTGGAGAATTTTCAACAAAACTAACATTTACGTTTGATGAGCTATATGAGTTATTAAATCAGTGAAAGAATGAACCATTTCTTGCCTTCTTGGTCTCTGACAAAAAATTCGTTCATGATTTGCTATCCATTAATAATAAGCCACCTTTGATATGGGTATAGTTGCCTTCAAGCAGCTGATCTGAGTATTAAAAAAAATTATATTAAATTGGAAAAAAGTGTTAAATTGTATTAAAAAAACTTTCTATATACATTCCATAGTAAGTTATACCAGTTATTCACAAACTTTCACCTCATCTGCAGAAGATCATAAGCGATGGTGGTGTAATGGTTAGCATAGTTGCCTTCCAAGCAGTTGATCTGGGTTCGATTCCCGGCCACCGCATTAATTTTATTAAAAAAAAATTTTTTTCTCCTTGCTAGTAAGATACACATGTTACTCGCAGACCTTCAACTCATCTGCAGAAAGACATAAGCGATGGTGGTGTAATGGTTAGCATAGTTGCCTTCCAAGCAGTTGATCTGGGTTCGATTCCCGGCTACCGCATTAATTTTACTAAAAAAACTTTTTTCCTTATTTGCCGGTAAGCTACACTTGTTATTCGCAGACTTTCACCTCATCTGCAGAAGTATATAAGCGATGGTGGTGTAACGGTTAGCATAGTTGCCTTCCAAGCAGTTGATCTGGGTTCGATTCCAGGCCATCGCATTAGTTTTATAAAAAAAACTTTTTTTTCATTCGCTACACTTGTTACTCCCAGACTTTCACCTCATCTGCAGAAAGATGTAAACGATGGTGGTGTAATGGTTAGCATAGTTGCCTTCCAAGCAGTTGATCTGGGTTCGATTCCCGGCCACCGCATTAATTTTAATAAAAGAACTTTTTTTTTCGTTTGCTAGTAAGATACACATGTTACTCGCAGATTTTCACCTCATCTGCAGAAAGACATAAGCGATGGTGGTGTAATGGTTAGCATAGTTGCCTTCCAAGCAGTTGATCTGGGTTCGATTCCCGGCCATCGCATTCATTTTATTAAAAAATCTTTTTTATTAATCAACAATAAGTTACAATTGTTACTCGCAGCCTTTCACCTCATCTGCAGAAGTATATAAGCGATGGTGGTTAATATACACATGTTACACATGTTACTCGCAGATTTTCACCTCATCTCTGAAAGACATAAGCGATGGTGGTGTAATGGTTAGCATAGTTGCCTTCCAAGCAGTTGATCTGGGTTTGATTCCCGGCCATCGCATTAATTTTATTAATTTTTCGTTTGCTAGTAAGATACACATGTTACTCGCAGATTTTCACCTCATCTGCAGAAAGACATAGGCGATGGTGGTGTAAAGGTTAGCATAGTTGCCTTCCAAGCAGTTGATCTTGGTTCGATTCCCGGCCATCGCATTAGTTTTATAAAAAAAACTTTTTTTTCATTCGCTACACTTGTTACTCGCAGACTTTCACCTCATCTACAGAAAGACGTAAGCGATGGTGGTGTAATGGTTAGCATAGTTGCCTTCCAAGCAGTTGATCTGGGTTCGATTCCCGGCCACCGCATTAATTTTAATAAAAAAACTTTTTTTTTGTTTGCTAGTAAGATACACATGTTACTCCCAGATTTTCACCTCATCTGCAGAAAGATATTAGCGATGGTGGTGTAATGGTTAGCATAGTTGCCTTCCAAGCAGTTGATCTGGGTTCGATTCCCGGCCATCGCATTAATTTTATTAAAAAAACTTTTTTTTTCGTTTGCTAGTAAGATGCACATGTTACTCGCAGACTTTCACCTCATATGCAGAAGTATATAAGCGATGGTGGTGTAATGGTAAGATACACATGTTACTCGCAGATTTTCACCTCATCTGCAGAAAGACATAAGCGATGGTGGTGTAATGGTTAGCAATGGTTATTAGCATAGTTGCCTTCCAAGCAGTTGATCTGGGTTCGATTCCCGGCCATCGCATTAATTTTATTAAAAAACTTTTTTTTTCGTTTGCTAGTAAGATACACATGTTACTCGCAGATTTTCATCTCATCTGCAGAACGACATAAGCGACGTTGGTGTAATGGTTAGCATAGTTGCCTTCCAAGCAGTTGATCTGGGTTCGATTCCCGGCCATCGCATTAATTTTATTGAAAAAACTCTTTTTTCGTTTGCTAGTAAGATACACATGTTACTCGCAGATTTTCACCTCATCTGCAGAAAGATATAAGCGATGGTGGTGTAATGGTTAGCATAGTTGCCTTCCAAGCAGTTGATCTGGGTTCGATTCCCGGCCATCGCATTAATTTTATTAAAAAAACTCTTTTTTCGTTTGCTAGTAAGATACACATGTTACTCGCAGATTTTCACCTCATCTGCATAAAGACATAAGCGATGGTGGTGTAATGGTTAGCATAGTTGCCTTCCAAGCAGTTGATCTGGGTTCGATTCCCGGCCATCGCATTAATTTTATTAAAAAAACTTTTTTTTTCGTTTGCTAGTAAGATGCACATGTTACTCGCAGACTTTCACCTCATATGCAGAAGTATATAAGCGATGGTGGTGTAATGGTAAGATACACATGTTACTCGCAGATTTTCACCTCATCTGCAGAAAGACATAAGCGATGGTGGTGTAATGGTTAGCAATGGTTATTAGCATAGTTGCCTTCCAAGCAGTTGATCTGGGTTCGATTCCCGGCCATCGCATTAATTTTATTAAAAAACTTTTTTTTTCGTTTGCTAGTAAGATACACATGTTACTCGCAGATTTTCATCTCATCTGCAGAACGACATAAGCGACGTTGGGGTTAGCATAGTTGCCTTCCAAGCAGTTGATCTGGGTTCGATTCCCGGCCATCGCATTAATTTTATTAAAAAAACTTTTTTTTTCGTTTGCTAGTAAGATACACATGTTACTCGCAGACTTTTACCTCATCTACAGAAAGACATAAGCGATGGTGGTGTAATGGTTAGCATAGTTGCCTTCCAAGCAGTTGATCTGGGTTCGATTCCCGGCCATCGCATTAATTTTATTACAAATTTTTTTCTTCCATTTAATAGCAAGCTACATTTATTATTCGCAGACTATCACCTCATTTACAAAAAGACATAAGCGATGGTGGTGTAATGGTTAGCATAGTTGCCTGCCAAGCAGTTGATCTGGGTTCATTTCCGGGCCATTGCAATAGTTTTTTTAACATACTTGCCTTAATCTGAGGGTGGTAATACTTGTAGACTTCATGGAATCCATCGCAATGGAAATATAAATCAAAAAATCCAAAAGCAGCCTATCAAGATATTGTTGCAAAGTGGCTTGAATTCACTGATATAAACACACATACCTCAGTGTGGTGAATAGCATTCTTTAATAAATTATTGAAGTAATAAATGAATAAGTACCGATAAATTAATTATTCAAGTACAGATACACTGTAAATTATAATTGTATCATCGTTATGTGACATTAATTTTTATTGGATATAAATTAATCATATATTGTGCTGTGAAAACGAAAGATTTACGTTCGCTGGTCTCTTGCAAAATTTTCACTCGACTATTAGTGTAGAGACTGTAGAGAATATGATAATGAGTGGTTATTAATCCAATTACACACCCCAGTGTCGCAGTCTAGCGGCCAGTGAAATTGTGTCAACAATAAAAAGAATCTTGTACTAATATTTATGTTAATATAGGTATTAGTTATGATAGGAAGAAAATTTTTAAATATAATTTTAACATCCTTTTAAAACATCTTAAAAACCAAAAGTTTATCGATGCATTCAGTTTTTGATTCATTTTACTGTATGACATGACTCATTTTGTATAATATATCATAAAATAGTCCCTCAACAACATGTTTCTTTTAGTGATATATAATTTTGAACTAATTTACTTTCTTTATATAAATACAGAGTGTCCCGCAACGATTGTACGAGACTGCATCAGCGTATTCTCTGATCGAAAATGCTCCCTTAAAATGCGGTGAACGGTTGTTTTCTTAATGTTAATGCAGAATTTCTTCTAATGCTGGTTGAGGCCTTTTCATCAACTCTTTTCAAAACTGCTTCTTCTAATTCCACCGGCCTTGTGGATATGGTGTAACAATACACCATATCCGCCATCTCTTCCTTGGAGTAATTAATAGGAGCCATACTTAATAGTTTTATTAAATTAAATAGTAAAATAATAATTTCGTGAAGTATTATTTTTTTTTTTTGATTAAACAACTTATCGTAATCATAGTAACGACTTAATTATTATAAAAACAAATTTAAATTCATGATGTTAACAATATCAACTTATGAAACTAAATCTTTGAATATCTCGAAAATGGTCGATTTTCTGACCTATATTTATTAGGCTTTTTTGTTTATTTTCGATCATAGAATATGCTGATGCAGTATTGTACAATCGTTGCGGGACACCCTGTATATAAATTCATATTCTATTTCAATAGAATATTGTTCAGATACTCAATCGCACGAAAAAGAATTTAAACTATTTGTATTTGATCCCCAACAGACATGGTACACGTGTTGATATTTTCGATACATATAACATAACACCCTCGCGATAGACGTCCCGTATCCTGGAAAACACACCGCAGACGTTATCGTGCATCAACCCCGTTGGGGATCACGGGGCGCATTTTAAACCGACAAAAGGGGGTTATTGCGGCACTCACCTTGCGTTCTGGGGCCCAACGGACTTCGCTTCGTAAGATGAGCTCGCCGTTATGGCATGATCCGGAATCCTGCCCTCCTGCATTCCCAGCGGCGCACGGCACTCCTCTGCAACAAACAACCCTTTCGTCAATACCGTTGGTTCTCCACCTCCTCCTCGACGGAGGCCGCTGCAATGATACCGAATGAAACGTGCCCGTTTTGTAAATTAGCGAGAAACGCTAATCCCACCCGAGGGGCAACTCCGACGCCGCCACCGTCTCGTCCAGGGGCTGCAGTAACGGCATCCCCTTTAATATTCATAAAAATTTATTGGATTCTCGCCCTTTGTTTTTCGTTCGCTTTCGCCAAACGCAGCTTGGACGGACCGCTCTGCCGGATCGAGATGATTATTATACAACTGGCAGTGAGTAAAAAAAAGGAGAACGCTACAGTATACATACAAATGGAGTGCAAAAGAACCCCTTGTTATTAAAACGAGTGCGTTTTTCATAAAATTTGATTTGTCTGAAGCGCTTTTCATGTCTTCTTTTAAGAGGTATTACATTTTTCTCTTTTCGTTGTGTCTCTAGGGAGAGATTTTACGTTTTAAAATGGAATAATCGCCCTACACCAAAAATATATCTCTTTGTGTATAGAATTAAGTGCAATTTTTACTTTAATTCGTTTAATTAATTGAAATAATTTTTTAAGTCTTGATTAAATAATTAATGTAAATATTATGGGAATCTAAATTTTCTTTATTATCGTATTTCTCATTTACTATTCCGGTTTAAAACGTGCTTACTACTACGTATCTCTTATGTATTCAGGCCACATGCTTCCCTATTATTACAGTAATGATGTTCGCTAATTAGCAAGTATACATCGTTAGGTAATTATGCTGAAACTCGCTCAAGAAACAGTATTAAGGGTAATATATACAGTAGGTGTAACGCAACTCCCATTCTAATACCCTCTTGAATTCCCTCTTGAAACCCTCTTCATCTGAACAGACGTAACACTTCAACACGTATAAGGTCGACTCTTTTTCCGAATTGTAGTCACAAATTCAGGTAGCCCGAAACCGTACTAACGAGCTCCGCAAGAATAGAAAATTAAAAACGGTTTTAATATAGACAGTTTGCGTGAGAGGTTTGCCCCAAGTAAAGCCGCCACCGCTGCTGCCGGGTGGAATTTAAAAATTAATATTTGACTCGGAACTCCTTGAAATTCTAAAGAATTCAAATGAATCGGCCCGGCGCGGTTCCCACCAAGAGTTGCCGAGCTGTTGCCTCGAAGATCTTACATTATTAATCTCTTTTGTCGGGAGTTTCATATTAAAAATTAAATTTCGTACTGCCTCGCTTATAAAAATTATCACCTTTATTGAAGCTAAATTTACTTGAAAAAAACGGAAAGAATTAAAATCATAAAATGGTTTTGTAATTTACAAAATTATCTTTTGAATAACATCAAAAATATATTCGAACAACGCGACTAACCATAATGATATTTAGCTTAATAATAACAACTACAAACTCCATTAGCTAATTTTCCCTCGAATGAAGATCGAACGTTGCCGTGTCCTGGGATTAACCTAATGTGCAAACCGAACCTGAATATTACGAGCATTTCAGGGAATGTGTTCACCGATAGTGAATTCAGTAATATAGTTAAATAAATTTTGTTGGTAGTAATGGTTGACTACTATTTATTATTGTTCATCGAAAACAGTATGTGATTCGAATATACATTTATATTTGTATTCCGGTCACACACGTCTGGGAATTTTAGACCATCGTATTATTGAACAACGCCGAAATGTGGCTTTTCCGAACCATATCATCGCAATATCGGCGGCCGCGTTTTCTATGCGCTTTTCGCTTCGTCTATTTTCCAATTTTCACGTTCACGAGAAAATTGAATAGCGCGTCGCGGAGACGACGGAGGTTATGCTTCGATCAACAAATCCATCGGTATACTATTTCCTGTGTAAACGGTAACCCAAGTTTATTCCTTGAATCCATCTACATTCAGGGTTGTATATAAAACGAGGCAATTTCCAAAAAGAGTTCCAATAACACAAGAAAGGAAGCGACAATCTTATATATAGTTACCATAAATTATTTTTAATTCATATTTTCAAATTTATTCGATTATATTATTCCGCGTTAGAATATATTTCATTAAAATCCATAATTGGAACGCCGCGAAGTCGAGATATGCAAAAACTGTAAAGTTTCCCCCAAAAAAACCCTTCACATAATCGGCTAATACCGTCATAAAGTATATTAAGCGAAAAGAGACATTAGAAATTCAAATTTATGGGCATGCATTAAATGAAGGAACTGGTCCCTATCTACCAAACCTCATCGTCGGCAGTCTTTTATTCAGTTCGAATCAGCTGCATCTCAACGATTTTGGGATCGTATCAAGGACGGTATCCAGACAAAATGACGTCAGTATCGGACTAATACGTCACGCTCATTCAGCTAATGTTGTACTCTTTGTGTTTCTAGAAATTTTATCGTAGATATATTTCTATTATATTCACTTTAGAGATCAATATCTTCGCAACCGCTCGATAAAAAAAATTGCGGTAAAGTTTGTTGTAATTACTGAACATTTCTACGTAACATATGTTAATTTGAAAATTTTCCGTTCTGCGGTTTTCTTATTATCGCGAGTTAAATGAAAAAACTACCCGATTTATGAGAAAAAAGATGGTGCTGGTGTGTGTTCCAGACAGGACGTCGCACCTTTGTTTCTTTATGTAGGTAAAAAATCGGCGCGACGTCCTGTCTGGAACGCACCATCTTTTCCGATTGGACGAAACACCCTCTCCCGACATGGCTTATTTCTGTTCTTTTTAATTTATAATACACGTAAATCGCTAAAAATTAGAGAGCCATAACTTTCAAGTTTTTTTATACTTGTTTCATTTAACTCGCGATAAAAAGATAACCGCGCATCCGAAAACTTTCAAAGTAACATATGTTAGGTACGTAGAAATGTTCAGTAATTACAACAAACTTTACCGAAATTTCTTTTACCGAGAGGTTGCGAAGATATCGATATCTAAAGTGAGGGACCTTGACTTTTGGCACCGATGGTAGTACCATCTTTTGTTGACTAATAATAACGATCATAATAAATATTAATGATTGTAATATCTTGTGTATACAAAATAGGTAACTAAAAACCAGTTTGAAGACATGGGGCTAAACCCGAAAGTTTCTAGTCCTAGGTCTAGACTTAGTTCTAGTTTTAATTGTTATTCATCGCTACATTGTTGTATATTTTCATTGAACTAAAAGTAGAACTAACACTGGACCTAGAACTAGAACCATTCGGGTTTATTCTAGGTCTAGTGTTAGTTCTAATGCTAGTGTTAGTTCTTGTTCTAGTTTTTGATTTGTTAATTATACCGTAAAGAAATGATAAGGTTAGTTTTCTTTTGAAATGTCAATCAGTCCAGGAAAGAATGATATTTCCTTAGGGAGATAGCTCTTAATAAACATCCAGATGGATTCCCAAGTGTCGTGCATTAGGTTACACCACATGTTCGCGTTAAGAGTATTATGTTCGTACTTAACATAGGCACAAGGATTTTCAGCAGCTTCTGTACCACATCTCGACTGACATGGGCTGATTCAATGCTGAGTAGTTCGTAGCATTGCATTAACTTCTATTCGTACATCATATTACGAAAACTTGGAGAGCTTTCCTTTTATTTGTTTAAGATTTCACATTTCTATCTTGCTTTGTTGCTTTCCTGTGACCGGTCGAATGTGCACTATGACTTGTAGGTAGTTTCAAGTGAAGTTGGTTAAACCACAGGTGGTATTTGGTTCTCCACCAGAAATATCATCGATTTATAAAAAGAAGAATATAATCATTGCCTTACTTACTAGGTATCACTCACTACTTTGTTTTAAAAAGTTAACGCTAATACAAAACTTTACGACGATCGCAACAAAAGTTGGCGAAGTAAAGAGCCACAACGATGTACATAGAGATGGGTCAATCACAGGACTAACTAGGAAGGTACTTCAACGTGGAACTCGTTTAAGCGACAGCATCGATGGTATCGGGCAAAGAAAACGAGAAAACGCAAAGGTATCGAGCATCGTAAAATTTACGATATATTAGTATTCTAGGGTTAAGAGACACATGGCTAAAATCGATCAAGATTTTCCTTTTATAATATGAAGTCTTAAACTAACATTACAAAACACGAATAGAATAAATTAAACATTTGTTAATTCAAAGTGTGAAATAGTAGTTACCTGGATGTAATAGTCCTCTTGGATTCTATCATCCTTGGGAGCCTATACAATTTTTTTCGAGGTTGGAATTTTTGTGGATAACGTTTGGCGGTTGGTTTTCCCTTCGTTGTCATCCGGCCACATATCGATTCTGGCCCGGGACAAAAAAATCCCTAATTCAATTACAACCCCAGTTTCCAGAACAAATATTTACGCTCGCGAAACAAAAGAAAGCTTCGTCGGCAACATGGTTTCGCGCGATGAAGCGTAAAATTAATTTGATGGGTGTATTTTCCTTTCTGCCCTCTTGAACACCCATTTCCTTCCTAACTACCACACGTGCCCGGGCACGTGTTTCATTGTGTTTGAAATATCGTACACATTAAGATGGGAATCCTACACCACATGTTACCCAGGAAACATCCCAAAACTCCTATGTAGGATAACTTCATCTATGATAATAATATACTCAAGGAAAGTTTGTGGAAAATGTTTACGCGGAAGAAAAATGATCTTTAAGTCCTTCGAGTTTAAAGTGTAGAAACAAGACTCCATTTATCATAGGTTAAAAGTGCCACGTAACATCAATATATCCGCATAATGACACTGTTTCCCCTAGTCTCAAGAGACCGAGTCCGGTTCTGACTCCTCCGTGTATAACAGCCATATGTGGCACGTTGAAGTATGCAACGAAACAAGCGATGTCGCGCTCTATATATGACACTAGTGGTAGACTGCGGGGTATCGTTTTATGAGAGTAAGGGAGGAGGAGGAAGTTTCGCGTGTGGGCTCTAGGTTATGGAGGAGGGGATTCTATGGGGATCGAGACACCTGAGACCGGTGACCTGTTCTAATACG